CGGCTGATGAAGACATCACCGCATAAGAGGAATTGCGACCAATGAACACAAACGCCCGGCTATGTTGCCGTAACTGACGCTGGATAAAAAAGCTCAAGTTTCGTTTACAAGGTAGATGCTGCATGGAGTGAGTGCAGACTGTCTCTTTGAGACGAAGTCGGTTTACTTCACTCGAAGGATGCTCCTTAAACAGTAGTGGTCAAAGACTTACAGGTTCTGTTCAGCCGCCACGCGCAGAGCCCAACATTCGCATCCGTGTTAGAGAACGGACCGCACAGATGCACGGTACACTCGGATCTTTGTTGAGATCGAAATATCGCGTCGGGTCCATAAGCACTTCCGAAGGCTGGAGAACACTCGTCGTGCTGCGTCAATTCGAAAGACAATGTCATCCTTACTCTGTCCATTCGGCAGCAACCTCGCTCCGAGGTAAAGTGTCGACTTCTTCAAGTTGACAGCCACTAATCTCGAGAGGTGCCTTCTCTTCGGCAGGGACGCAACATTAAAACACCTTGGTCTTCCCAGCGTTTATGGACAAACCGACCGTTTTCGCAACTTCGGTCACGCGTGACACCACAGACTGGAGATCGCCAAAGCTTGATACTACTAAAGCGATATCATCGGCATAGTCAAGGTCAGTCAACCGGCGCCCGGGTTCAAGCTCAATACCGTCACCTTCTTGTAGGACCTTTCCGAGAACCCAGTTAATGACGTAGTTAAAGAGGATGGGCGACAGGACACAGCTTTGCCGAACGCCTGACCGAATAGCGAAGGGTTCTGAGAGGTTTTTGTGGAATAAAACCCGCGCAGTGATGGAACGGTAGTATGCCTTGATCATGACATCACCATCAAATGCCATTATCCGCCATAGGGAGTCACGATGGAAAGAGTCGAACGCAGCGGTAAAGTCAAGAAAGCAAATGGCCGTTGGCTATTGGTAGCTATGGCGGAATTTAAGGATCCGTCTCAGTGTGTATATCTGATCCACACATCCACGCCCAGCACGAAATCCGGCCTGGGTGCGTCGCATGCTGGAGTCGCGCACAGACTGAAACTGCCTAAGGAGAACAATAGCGAAACTATTCGCAGCAATGTCGATGATACTTATGCTACGGTAGTTCTCACATTTTTTCGTGTCTCCCTTCCTGTGGACAGGCAAAAGGATGCCTGAGGCCCAGTCTCTTCTCTCCATGCTTGTCCAATCACCTCAAGGAGCCAAGGCGCCAGAGTGTCGGCACAAGACTTGTAGATTTTAGCGGGTAT